CAATCCAAGATTACAGCCTCACCTGTGATCAATTATTGACCAATCAATTAGTGGGTGTATAGAAAGAACCACAGCACACCAGACCTTCACATCAACTGCAACTTAACCTCTGACAACATGCCTAAGATTCACCCTGAGACCAAAGCTTTGATCATCAAGAGGCTGAAGACCAGATCCACTGCTGAGGTGGCTGACACCTTCAATGTGTCTCAGCGTCAAGTACAAAGGATAAGAAAAAGATTTGAAGAGACTGGAGATGTTTATGACAAGCCCAGGCCCAGCAGGCCCCGAAAGACAACTGCTCGGGAGGACCATTTGTTGGCTTGAAAATCCAAGGCCAGCCCCTTTTCCACTGCAGCAGAGCTCCACCAGGTCTGGTCACCTCAAGTCCCTGTGTCAATCAGAACAGTTTGTCGAATTCTGTCTCGACATGGCCTCCATGGTCGAATCAGTGCCCAGAAACCAGCACTAAACAAAAAGAAATTAAAAAAACTTGTGGCATTTGCCAAGGCCCACAGCCTGCTAAAAGGATGCACGCTGGAAAAGTGGCAGAAGGTGGATTTTTCTGATGAATCTTCGGTTGAATTACATCACAACCGCTGCAAATATTGCAGGAGACCTACTGGAGTCTGCATGGATCCGAGATTCACCCAGAAAACAATTAAGTTTGGTGGTGGAAAAATCATGGTCTGGGGTTGCATCCAGCATGGAGGTGTGCGAGAGATTTGCAGGGTGAAAGGCAATATCAATAGCCTAAAATATCAAGAAGTATTAGCTTCCTCTTACATTCCCAACCATAAAAGGGGTCAAATTTTGCAGCAGGATGGTGCTCCATCGCATACTCAGATCTCTACAGTTCCTCAAGGCGGAGAAGATCAAGGTGCTCCAGGACTGGACAACCCAGTCACCAGACATGAACATCATCGAGCATGTCTGGGGTAAAATGAAAGAGGAAGCATGGAAGACGAAACCAAAGAATCATGATGAACTCTGGGAGGCATGTAAGACTGCGTTCTTTGCTATTTCTGATGACTTCATCAATAAATTGTATGAATCGTTGCTGAACTGCATGGATGCAGTTCTTCAGGCTCATGGAAGTCATACAAGATATTAAATATGGATCTCACAGCACCACTACTTGATTCACTGATGTTGTGCAACATATTTTGTATCTGAAGTAAATTATTTGTTCAATTTTCACATTACTCTATGTAGGCGACAAAACTTTTGTCTTGCCAAAATCTGACCTTTCTGTGTTCATTAAATGATCAATCTTTCTTCGGTGAAGGAAATTTATTTTAGATTTTAAACATAATCTGGGAGGGTTTTAGCTTTCATATGAGCCATTTCTAAAACCAATGGATTAATGACAAGTCAGGTTATTAGCTGTTGTTTCTACAAAATGGATAAGTGACAAGACTTTTGTCAGGCACTGTAGAGCTCACTCGAGAGAGTTTTCAGGCTGGCAAAAGTGCAGGAAAAAAAAAGGGGTTTTAGACAACAAACTTCAAAATGGCTGTTCTGGGACCTCTGAGACCTATGTGAACCTGCTGAAAAGGAGTATAATATGGGACCTTTAAAACTTGAAAAACAATCAAAAGAACATTATCAATGTCTAAGTTTGGTTCTTGTTTGACAATTCTGGATTTGATGTTGTGACATGTAATGCAACATACTAAGCCCATTATTATATGGCCTGCGTGTTGTGTTAATAGACAGCAAGTCCAGTGCTGAAAGCAGTTTATTTATTTATTTATTTTTTAAATCGCACTGTTGGTTTGTGCCAACACTGTTTGTTCTTAGCCCAAGTAAAGCCCAAGGAACTTTTGGTTTGTTTAATTTTTACTAACCTTTTAAAAACTAGTTCCTCTTTGCTGATCTTACCTTCTCAATGTAATTATGATATTTACTTATATGTGAAATCAGTGTTTCAGGCATATTAAATGCTGTAGTGCCTGTTGTTCACTCTTGTGTCGCTTGTCCAAAGCATATGACTGGAGGGGCAGAAAAGGTTTTATTTCCTCTTTGAATTAGTAACTGATATTACTACTTTGATCCAGACCAGTTTCTGACATTAAAACTCTTACTAGACCTGAAACAAAACTGACGCCCACCAGGTTAAGACGGTCATCAGACCCCATATGTGATGATACAACAAAGAACTAAAAATGGAGGGTAGAATGTAATTGTCCTTTATAGATAAGCTGCAGTGCCTGCTGTAATCATTGTACCAGGTGGTGTTTTGACATCCAGGTTTCCTGTGCCAACAAAGTTCGGAATCTGTAAGCCGTGGTGGAAGTTGCTCTTTATCTCCAGCAGGCAGTTGATGACCTCTGGCCCATGGTGCCCGACAAAAGCAAAGCAGGGCCCTCTGCTGACCCTCCTTCTCAATAGGCAAGCTGCTACTGGTAGTAGTTTGGCCTAGAGAAAATGATATCCCACATGGTGAAGATGCTTTGGAGAGACAGGTTAAGATGAGGACAAGAATGAAAAAGATGTTACTCTTCATGGCATACCGTGGTGTAATCTATGCAAAATAGCTGCAGGTGGATCAAAGAGATGAAGTCGGGAGAAAAAGCGGGCAGGAATAAAGAATAAATGCATGCAGACAAGAAGGATGCATATGTGTTGTGTATGTGTGTGATAAGAACTGAGAAAATACTGCCAGTCTTGAAGGCAAAATATATTCAAGGTCACATCCAGTGGATTTGTAAAATAAGGGATCTGCATTCAAGGATATCTTCAGCCACGGGTCCACAGGGAGGTGTGTTCAACAAAAGCAGAGATAGAAGGAAGATGTGAACTATAGGGATTGAATGGGAATCAGAATAATAGAATGCAAGTAAAGGTTAGGCTAAGACATGGTAAAGGCCACAAAGACACTCCAATTTGTGAGGGTGGTGATAAATTGAGCTGCGTCTACCCCTGCCACCACAAAGCAATCTGTAAAGTTGTATTTTCACTGCTCTATTTACCTTTATTCTCTTTGGTTTGACTATCATGCAGCATTAGATACCATAAACTAATGCCAGTCACCCACAAAGACAACTGCACAAATTCTACTTCTTGGTTATAGGGGTGACTTCAGAGTTGACCCTCTGTACTACTAAGGTGGTTCACCTCTACCCAGGGTAGATTGCCATGGCAACTTATGCTACATAACCAACATGTTACTGGGTCCAAGAATAGAGGTGAATCAGAAAATCCCATGCATGACCAAACAGTTTGCTTGACTGTGGCGCTCTGTTAACTGATCTTGAGAGGGGGAGAAAAAAGGCTTTACTGACTCGTATGATATAATATACAAAAATACACATAAAAGGTGCTCTGAACAGTCATTAATATTGTGTCCATTGATTAATTATTAAAGTAGCTGAGTTGTTATGTCTGCAAATGTCATCCCCGCAATAGCAGGGCCTGGCTAAAGGTGGCCATGAATACTTTTAAAATCTGATTGACCACCCCAGTGTTAACTCTAAAGTTGTTCACAACAAGTGGTTATTTGCTCTGTCAGACTAATTTTCAAGAACAGAACAGCTGGAATATTCATGTTCACACTCATATTTAAATCAAATATTTTGTTGCATTTTACCACTACCTTAATTGTAACAAGTAACTTGTTTGCATTTCAATATGTATTTCAGTCTTTTCTTGGGGCTATTTTTGGACTAAATTTTCTTTTTGAGGCTCTGCAGATGTATGTCACCCCTCCACTGATTAAACTGATGTCACTTGCTTCCCTCTTTCTTAAAGTGCAGAGGAATTGCTGCTTGCTTTTTGCATTCCATTTATTCTTTTTGCTGATATCTTTTTTCTTGGCTTACAGTACTGGGCATAAAAAATCATGGGGACTGCGAATCTTGCGAGATATAGGAGGTTTCCCAAAGGCTCTACCCTTTAACCTCTGCATACTTCCACTGGCTCAGATTATAGAGGACAACAAAAAAAGTTATCAAAACTACACAGATGACATACACATAGTTACACATGACAATGTCACTAGGTGACCATGTCCCCATACAAGCCCTAAATATGTGCCTCCAGCAAATCTTTAAAAAGATGAGGCAAATATTTCTTCTGAGGTTCTTGTTTTTGGCGCTTAACAGAATATATTAATGGCCAATCAGCAGCTTCAGATGTTTCAGCTCAAAGCAACCAACCAAAATCTGGGTGAGGTAATGGACTCATACCTGAATTTTCACCCGATCTGGTTGCTGTCATGCCATTGAATAAGCTTAATTCTGATACTGTAATCCCACAGACCAGGGGCCTCATGTATCAACGCTTGCGGCGCAAGAAAACCTTGCGTACGCCAAAATCGGCGCACACGTCCAGATTTATCATCGCGAAACGAGCGTCGGTTCCAGCGCTAATCAACGCAAAGTCAGGAGGTGGTGTAGAAATTGGCGTTGAGCTGGATATTTGCTTTGACTGTGATTCGCACTTTGGCGACGCTGTGTGGCGGTGTTTGGTGACTCACTATGTGACAAGCGTGCACCACATCCCCGTGGCCGGGCAGCACGTCGCCCCACATGACGAACCAGCAGCAGACGGAGGGATGCGAGCTGATCCCTGCCGGGCCGCCGTCCTCGCGCGGGAGAATCTCATCGCCACAGTGTGAATGGGTAAGAAGTGAATACACAGTTCAATGAGCCAAATTAATTTATTTTCTCCACCAGACGCTCGAGGAAATTTACGAGCCGGTCCAGCCGCTCGTTGATCCCCGCGATCCCCCTGATGATTTCTTCCTGCGATTGCAGGACCCCCTCCGCGAGGACCCTTCCACTGCGTCCGGGTGGTCCAGCGGAAGCGCCGCGGCTGGTGGACGCTCCACGGCTTGTCGGCGCGCTGGTGCTGATGCTGGTGCTGGGGCCGGGGGCCGGGGTGGCCCGAATGCCGCTGGTCCTGGCCGACGACTCCGAGCCGGCGGACGGGCTGCCGCGGGCCAGGGTTCCGCAAGCCGGGACACGGCCGACACATTAATTTCTGTGACACAATAAAAATATTAGTTCATTTCAATTCCTGCTTCTGTGTATCTGTTGCGTTTACATCTCTCTCCTCGGTATCATAGGTAATGTAATCCAGTATTTCGAGGTCAGTTATGCACATTACAGTTGTTTATTGCATAAAAAGTTATCGAAAAATGAAGTTAAGGGCGAAGTATAAATCACGTCTAAAAATAGACTGAATCCCGACGTTGAAATGAAGTATAAACTTAGACTAGACGTCTAATATACGTCTTTTGCTCAGTGGGATGACAAAGCATGTGGACATTTGTGTGACACGCCACTTACCCTATAATAATAATCGCCACCACCCGCTGCTCAAACGGTGTGAGGGTCTCCTCCCCCGGACCCCCACCTGTCTGGCCGGTACTCCTCCGGAGGGCAGCTGTACGCCGCTTGACCTCCACCTTGAGGTCCGACCACTTTTTTTTTAATCTCCGCGGGGGTGCGTGTCTCGGAACCCACCGCATTCACCCTCTCGCAAACTTTCTCCCACTCCAAGCGTTTTTATTTTGCACTGACGCCACTGGACAGGCTGCCAAACAAAACACGCTGTCGCTCCTCCACCTCCGCCACCAGCACCTCCACCTCGCACGCCGTAAATGTAGTTTTTCTTGTCATTTTGTCTGCGTGCGAGGACAGGGAGACCCTATTTAAATAAATCTGCATATTTATAGGAGGGCGTAACGGGGACGGGCCCAGTCACTCCGACATCTACGCTCAATTCCACGCTGATTGGGATTTATCAAGGAAACACACGTGGATTTCGGCGCCCGCACACATTGATACATACGGATTTTTTTCAGCGTGACGGACCTTGCGTGCGCTCGTTTCTGGTATGAGTTCCACGCAAGTGTTGATACATGAGGCCCCTGGTCTTGTAGGGCCCTACTCTACCTACTAGTAGGTGTAGGAGGCTGTAATCGCCTATTCATTTGCTTGACCCAATGTTATTAATGCCCAGTAGGCTTGTTAGGAGCTCGTGTTTTTTATCCATCAGCTTTGTCTAGAATTCTATTATATTATGTATTATAATTTTCAATATTAAAACCTGAACTATAGAAATAAACATTGGAGAGCTTCCATTAAATGGATGAAATGTCAGTTTTGTGCATGCAAGCTCAACAATTGACATTGTTATTGTCAGTGGGAAAACTTTTATCATATTTTTGTCAAAAAATTAAGTCAAAATTATGGTCAAAAGTGTAATCTTTGAGATGGTAAGTCAAAAATAATGAGATAAAGTTATAATTTAGTATCAACATTTAATTGTTTGACCTTATAAATTTTACATTTTTTTCCTCATAATTAAGACTTAATAGATCATAGCTATTACTCATATTTTTTACCTTCTCATATCTTGAAATAGCAACTTACCTTGAATATAAAACCAATCCGAGTCAATTAGGGGCCAAATTCAATGTCAAACAGCAGTCCCACTTCCCTTTATGGTTCAATATGAAAATGGTCGCTGAACTAGGGTATGGCATGTGTCAAAGGCGCAGCGGGGTTTCCTACCCACGTTAGCAGGGCTTACCCTTTAACATAGGTTAAATGAGTTCATGAAAGCTACTCAGCTTGAAAGAGTTCATGTAACAAACTTTAAATGTTTTACAAGTACTCATAATGCTCTACAATTTTATGAATACTCAAAACAACTTGGATGACACCTCAGTTTTTCAGTTTCAAGTAAGGTCAACATTGTAGGGATGAGTGACTGTAACACTTTTTGAGTTTTAAGTTATTTAAACTTATTTTGTTTATTGAAATACACTGTTAGGTTTTACAGTGTGGCAAGAGCTGCATGAAAACATAAGATCGTGAAGATAGGAATTGAGAATGTTTCAATGTCATTTCAACTGCATGAATTTGCAGAAATGAGAGAGAGAGAAATTTACCTTATACAGCTCTGTGAACCTGAAGAAAAAAAAGTAGAGGAACTCATAAAGAAATAACTTAAGTGTTGTACTGGCAGACATTCACAACAATAGGAAAGTGAAGGACAAAGAGAAGCACAGAGTCAAACTGTCTTTCAAAGAGATAAGCACCTCGATATTTCAGTGCCTGGTCTCCAGCTGTCAAAAAATCGTAAAGAGCAAGAACAAAAAAAGCATGCTGTCACAGTGGCAAACTGCCATCCATACAGGCTGAGGGATAAAGGTCAGAAAATGATCTGTCATTGGCATAATTGCATCCGCTGAAGTTGTGTATCGGTGGCCTGTCGTGTCATAGATTGCTTTTCACACTTCATTCTTTTCTTGATGGAAAAGTAATCCTGAAGACACAAAAGTTTATCGTAGCTGCACAGAGTGTAATAGATGGCTGAAAGAGGGAAAGATGGACTCTTGGCGAGGATGAGTTAAAACCAGGTAGACTTATGTAAGCTTGCAATCTCAGCAGTGTAATACATCTGAAATAAAATAAATTCTGCAAGATGTGGGAAGAGAATTTATTGTGTCATGGCATGCTGCATTTGTGCCTGTCTTCGTCTGCTACGACAGACAGCTGCCTACCTCTAAGCCCTGAAGCCTGTACTATGGAGCTGGATTAACACATCCAGGATAACTCTGCCACACCAGATCTCTGTAATTCCAATCAGCTGTACTACGAGGCAGGATATCAACTCAAGAACTGTATCCAGTTGTGGCCAGTCTAGATCTGTGTGTGCACACGTAAAGGGGGCAGGGTCAGTGCCACCGGGCCAGTCTCCACAATGGAGAAGGCTGCACGTCATATTTCACAGCCGAGGAACAGAGCATTATTTTACGCAAATATGAGGAGTACCGCGACATTATATTGGTGAGGAGCAAGACTCCCACAGCCGTTAGAAGCTGGAAGAACTGCTGGCAAAAAAATCGCTGATTGTGTATATTATTTTTGTGAGTTCATAAATTTATGGTCCACTAATATGTTGTCATGCAATGCATGTGATCACCATCATCACTTATCTCATTGTTACAGATGCAACAGTAGTGGGGAAAAGAGTATGTAGGAGCAACTAAAAAATAAATATAAATACATCCTTCAAAGTGGTTAGTGGTTTATTGGAAGATTTTATTTGTATATATTTCAACATGTAAACAGTGATTTCCTCACACTGCCTTAATGAGAAGCTTTTTTTCTTTTTTCCTCATCATCTGATGGTCACATGTCATCTGCAGACACATTTGAGGTTGAGAGGAGTTTTCTAATCTGCTTCAATAATTTCTTAATGATGACTGATATGTAGCATGAAACTGGAACTTGGAGCTTGGCAGATATTAGTGCATTGCCTAGACTTCATGCTACCTGAATATTGAGGCCGTCCAAGGAAAACCTGTAACGTTCATAGAAAGCATCATTAGGGAAATCAAACAGATTTTAACAATCACAAATATAATGCTCTCGGCGAAGCGTTCATCTTACCATCTGTGCACCGATGTCCACAGGATCCGGCCAAAGCGGGCAAGCCATTTTCCAAGAGATGCGATTGGTCTGTGGGCGGTCTTTATACCCGCTGAGATGTTACCCTGAATCATAACCTGCCCGGGAGCGGGGTTTGGCGTTAGGTGTAAGTTACCAGGGCAACGGACCTGGATAGAAAGAAATCCACTTTCGTCAAACAGAAAACCCAGGAGTTATCCAGAAGTTATTTGGCCAAGATCAAATCCAGCTTCATAGTACAGGCTTCTGTTCTGCTTGAGGTATGAAACTGTTTTAAGAGATGTTTTTACCTTCCACTGTCAAAAGCTTTCTTATTGGTAGATTAAGATGGATCTGTACTGATGACCTGAGGACCATAAAGCTTTCTAGTAAGAAGAAAAAAAATTATAATAAAAAATGCTTCCATAAAATTAAAAAAACAGAGGAGAGATGACAGAAATATTCTCTAAACACTAAATGACAAACTGGATTGTGGTGATCATGGTTGTGGTAGATCTCATTAGAGACATGTTGACAATGTGATCATAGTATTACCATTAAAATATTTGACAACTGAAAATTGCAACAGTTTACACACAGTTCTATTCTCACAATAGATGAGCGTCATATAGAGAAGCTCAGTGAGAGTAGAACAGGATCTGCTGCAACAAGCTTTACAAAACTATGAAAACAACAGCAATTGAAAGGTTCACCTTTAACATGATACACTGCACTACAATTATAATTTTAAGAACACACAGAATTGTGGACTTTTCACTCTAGTCGTCTACAGAGAAGTGCATAGTGTCACACACAGTTTAATCGATCTTGATTATAACGGTACAGACCTACACTAGTGTTGTGTTGTGTTCATTCAAAAGAACGGAACTAGTGAGTGAGCGACATGAATGGAATCACTCCAAGACCTGATTTGTTCCTTTCTCAGTTCAGTTGAGCTCAGCCGCGAGCCTGGTGTGCCGGTCTGGAGTGGAACTGCTGCCTTTGACTCTTTGGTGAATGACACACAGCCAGCCAGCCAGTGCTTGGGCAGGTGGAGTCGCGTGATTTGCTCAAAGCAAATGAACCACATGTATCAGTCAGACTGTGAACGACATGTATCAGACTGTGAACAGAACGAATGACTTCCAAATGACTTGAGGCAGGCAGAGGAGGGAGAGGCGTAGCGTCATTCACAAACTGCCAAGCACTGGTTCATTCACTGAGGTTAAGATAAAACAGTGCATTACAGTGCCTTTACATTCATACACGCATATAAACTTTCCTGCAATAAGGATTACATTTTTTTGATATCTTTAAAAGTATCAGAATCCCCGCCACAGCTGCAATGTTTATTTTTAATCTCTGCACTTTTCCACGATATAAAAGAATGACAACTCACGCTTGTTTAGCAGGCATGCTGCTTGCTGCTGTGTTGTTTCACTCGCGTTGGGATGCAAACATTGGTGGCACACAGAGAGGTGAGTTTTTTTAGGGCAGGGGAGTGATTCTTATTTCACAACCTGGCGAATGAACCACATGTGTCACCCAGTCAATGAAGCTGTGACTTCAGCAGCAGGGGAGGGGAGGGGTAGTTCGGTGCAGATTGGGAACTCCTGATCAGTGTTGCTGTGTCACTCTCTTGTATACTGCACTGGCAGGACGGGGATCCAAAGCACTGACTGATTCAGTGAACGCATCTTTTGAATGAATCATTTTAATGAACGGATTCTAAAGATTCAGTACAGTCTTAAGAACTGTTAGCACTAACCTTCACAGAGACTGGTCATAAGAGGGCTAGCCTCCTGATTGGCCAGTAAATAGTTACATTTCAGCAATCAAACCTTTAACTCATTATGTCATGTACCGAAACAATCAATGAATAAGTAACCAAGAGGCTAACTGTTGTTTTCCAAATGATAAAAACACTGAAAACTTTTTAAAGCTCTTCCCCTTTGTGTGTACAGCACATCGGCTTTCTTATTTTTGCTTCTGTTCTCATCCAAGCTCTGGAGCATGTGCAGAATGCTAAGACTATATTTGGTTCAATTAAGATGTATACACAGAAAAAAAAGAGTATTTTAAAAGCCCAGTCTTAATCACAGGAACATGATTATCTCTTTTTATTTGTTTGTTTGTTTGTTTGTTTGTTTGTTTGTTTGTTTGTTTGATTGTTTGTTTGATTGATTGATTGATTGTTTATTGGTTTGTTGGTTTTTTGTTTATTTATTTATTTATTTATTTACATCATGTACACATACTGGTTGATAAACCAAAGGGAGATCCTTTTGGAACTCAGTTGAAAATTATAAACTGGCACAAGACTTTCAATGCTTTTCCAATTCTATTTTAAATAAAATCTAAGGATTTGCTTTGAAAAACCTACATTATATTTGGCCTGTACAACCATGATCTCCAAGTTTGTAAATACAAAAGTTGAATTTCTGGGGTACAGAGCCAGTTATGCGTTTATTTTGTCACTGCTCCTCTACATGTGTTTCTAAGTGATAAAGTTTGTTTATAATGAAACTGGCCACTCTACAACAAATATGCCTAAAGACATTGGAGCAAAGTAGTATGGGATCAGAGAGAAAACAGAGAGAGGTGCTTACTACCTAAGAGCAGCTGGACACAGATAGACAGAGAGACACACAGGCAGTTAGACAGTTGTGTTGTCTCTTTAGTCCATTGTACTAAGCTGTTGCTGGTTTTCCAAGTTTTTTACAATACAAGAACTTTATTTAACCCAAACTGAATATTCATTATTCATAATTTACATTCACCAATATTCATCAAACAAAAGAAGTGAAATCGAATGTAAAAAGGTGGCCCAAAAAAGGGCACCTGCTTCGTAAGTGGTCTGACTGAGACTGTAATATCCAGCCAAGATGGCCGCGAAACTACACAGGGAAAAAAAAAAATCAAAAAAGGTCATGAAGGTTAATTTTTAAACCTGCATGGGTCCTAGGTGTGGAAACACAATGCTATATCAAGGTGTGAGGGCTACAACATCAATGATGAGATTGAGGGCTCTATTTTCGTGCCTCGCTGGAGACATGCCACAGGCGCGGCGTAAGTCAGGTCCGCCACACCGACAAAGCATTCCCAAGCACAATTTGGTATTTTGGTGAGCGGCGCAGCCCGGCGTAAGAATCCCCCCTCCCTAACTCAGCTCCTATCAGCGGCGTAAGTCATAGCGAGGGAGAAGAGAGGGCGTGGAGAGGGTTTAACACAGCCGAGACCTGTATTGGCCAATAACATCAGCTCCTCTCCTTGCCTTTAAATTCGCGACAGAAGGCAGCCCCTCAACAAGTGTCACTGTAAGCGCTGCAGAGGGCGTCCTCCACACTCTCTCATATGAGCACAAATGGATTTGGTGTGTGTAAGTTTGGACCCACTGGTAAGACAAACACCCTTTTCCACAAATAAAGACACTCATATAAAGTTGCATTTATTCAAACCTTGCGTGGCAAAGGTGGGTTGTGCGCACAGATCGTCGTCGTTTTCTTCCGCTTCATCCGGGTCCAGGTTGCAGGGGCAGCAGCTTCAGGAGGGAAGTCCAGACGGCCCTCACCCCGGCCACTTCCGCCAGCTCCTCCGGGTGGATTCCCAGGCGCTCCCAGGCCAGGCGAGAGATATAATCCCTCCACCCAGTCCTGGGCCAGCCACGAGGTCTCCTCCCGGTGGCACATGTCTGGAACACCTCTAACGGGAGGCGTCCAGAAGGCATCCTAACTAGATGCCCGAGACACCTCAGCTGACTCCTCTCGATGTGGAGGAGCAGCGGTTCTACTCTGAGCACCTCCCGAGTGTCTGAGCTCCTTACCCTATCTCTAAGGCTGAGCCCGGCCACCCTGCGAAGGAAACCCATTTCGGCCACTTGTAACTGCGATCTTGTTCTTTCGGTCATTACTCACAGTTCATGGCCATAGCTGAGAGTCGACACGTAGATTGACTGGTAAATCGAGAGTTTCGCCCTATGGCTCAGCTCTTTCTTCACCATGACTGATTGGTTAAGCATCCGCGTCACTGCTGACGCTGATCCAATCTGCCTGTCGATCTCCCGTTCCATCCTACCCTCACTCGTGATCAAGATCCCGAGATACTTGAACACCTCCACTTGAGGCAGGACCGCTCCTCCGACTTGGAGAAGGTAAAATACCTTTTTCCGACGGAGGACCATGGCCTCGGACTTGGAGGTGTTGATTCGCATACCAGCTGCTTCACATTTGGCCGTGAACCGTCCCGACAAGAGCTGAAGGTCACTGCTCGACGAAGCTAGAAGCACCACATCATCCGCAAAAAGCAGCGACGCGATCCTCTGCCTGCCGAACTTGACACCCTCCACCCCCCGGCTGCACCTAGAAATTCTGTCCATAAAGGTTATGAACAGAACCGGTGACAAAGGGCAGCCCTGGCGGAGTCTAACCCTTAGTGGAAACGAGTCCAACTTACAGCCAGCTACACGGAACAAGCTCGTGCTCCTTTGGTAAAGTGACTGGGCGGCCCTTAGTAAGGAACCCTCCACCCAGAACTCCCGGAGCACCCCCCACAGGATTCCCCTAGGGACCCGGTCGTAGGCCTTCTCCAAGTCCACAAAACACATGTGGACTGGTTGGGCAAACTCCCATCTCCCCTCAAAAACCTGAGTGAGGGTGAAGAGCTTTATCCGCCGTTCCACGACTGGGACGAAACACGCATTGTTCCTCCTCGATCTGAGGTTTAACTATTGATCGGATCCTCTTTTCCAGCACCCTGTGCAAGTCGCAGTTTGTCCATAACTTACACCATGTTCGAACATAAGGTTGTTCATCTGTGTGCGCACAGATCACAACATAAATTCCAAAAATGGCATTAAAATCTGAACCATCTGTGCGTGATGACGCATCGTGCTCCGTAGCCTGACTCTTTCTTTCATAGATGTTGGCATATAAAATAAATTTGGCCCCACAAAACTAAATATTATAATATTCATATGTAGGCTTAAAGTAAATAACTCATCTGATCACTGAAACAAATCATCTGTTGTCATCATCATCTGCAGCAGGACGGGGAGAGGACACGGAGACATGTCCAGGTCGAGCTGCACGAGAAATAAGAGGAAGAGGAAAAGTAAAAGGAGGGAGATGAATTACATGTCTTGTTCACATCATCATGTGTGTCTATTTACTAGATATTTAATTAAATTTAATGCGGTTTCAGCTGTGTTGATTCTGTCAGGTTGTGTGTCCAAATGCGTGCCAAATGCGCTCATCAGATCAGATATACAGTATATCAGAATATATCTATTTTGATTGAAATGTATGTGCTGACTCAGATTATTAGTTGTTGTTGATTATTTATTGCACTGAAATGTGCCTGACACTGTGGAAACCTGCCAGTGAGGCATCAGTGACGTATGCCGATACGCCGCGGTTTACCAAAATACCAGCTGCGCTCTGCCTGCGCTGAAAGCTGACCAGGTTTGAATCAGCGAGCTTTCAGCGCACTTTATACGGCACTGGCGAGCACGAAAATGTCACTGCGCCCGCTGATTCTGTCGACATCTCCCCCTGCCTCGCCACCACGCCCAGCCTGGCAGACCTCGGTGCGCCTCAGTCCACGAAAATAACAAACTGGCTGTACGCGGGGCTCTGCCAGACGAAAATACCACTGCGTGGGGTCTGCCACCCTCCGCCGCCTCACCGGCGGACACAAAAATAGAGCACTGAGTCTCAACCTGCATGATCAGACCCACTCTTATTTTAATCTACCAAGAGTGTAACACTGAACATTAAAGCATGCTACAGTAGCAAGGAACAATGTCATTATAAATAGGCAGAAACCTTGAGCAGAACTCGACTCATGTCAGATCTGCTGAGACTGTCCTATGCCACTGTCAACTGCAAGACTTTTTTTCTTGTTTCCTTGATCAGTCAGTTACAGCTTTTGAAAAAAAACAAAAAACGATTGCGTCGAAGCAATGTGGTCAACCACACCTCCTCACTGAGATGATGTTTCTGCTCCTTTCTTGCTAAGGGTTGCTCTCAGAATGTTACCAAATTAAATCTTGTTAAGCTACTTCAAGATACCAATTTTTAAATAAAGTTGAAAGCCCAAAGAGTATTTCAAGAATATTCTAAAGTTCAGGACAACAAAGTTATCTATGAGGACAGGGTGAAGACAATCATGTTTTACTGCGTCACTCAGTTGTCTGTTTTAAATTTGCAATTGTGTTTGTATGTCTCTGCATGTAATATACTAATATAAGACAGAAATGGTTTCCATTATGGAAGATTTTTCCTCCGTCACATGCATTTCTTATATTGAATACCTCACTGAAAGGTGCATGTGTACAGCTAGTTCCTAAAAATAGCAGCGCTTCAACGTCCTATATGTATCCGAGGTAGCTGGCATGGTGTACAGGAACATCTGTGCTGAGCATGGACTGGAGGTCCCTTGGTCAAGACGCAAGACGCTCCCTAAAGTGGTGGAGAACCAGTGAGCCTAGGTCCTGTGGGACCTCTAGATCCAGGCTAACAAGATAGTGCTGATTGATCAGCATCAGAAGACAATGGTAGTGATAAATGTAGCAATACCGAGCGATAGCAACATCAGGAAGAAGGAACACAAAAAGCTGGAGAAATACCAAGGGCTAAAGGAAGAGCTAGAGAAGATGTGGGGTGTGAGAGAAACAACAACAACCGAGAACATCTGAGATCTCTGTCTAGAAGTGCACTCTTCCAGAAACAGCTGAGATCTTGCACAGAACCCTTAGGCTACCAGGCCTCTGGTAGTGGACCATCAGAACGATCTCATGCCGCATCTAGTTGGGCCGCATCATGCCCAACTACAGGGAGAGGGCGGATGCCTTTTTCAGTGTGATATAAGGCATGAGAAGAACACTAGTTATGATTTATGATACTGTTATTGATTTAGAGATCAACTGAAATTGTGTAATAAGAAAAAAGGTCAAAGTACTAATTAAAAAAAGAAATCTGGTGGAGCACATGCGTGAATAAGTGTGGCCCGCCCGCCAGTGTATGTGTGCCAAACATATATTAATTTACAGCTCAATGGCTTGTACAGCCATCTTAACATTAGAAAATACAGTATGTGTGATATTTTTAAAAATGCAAGAGAAATTAAACAAGGAGGATGAGGGCAGGTCCACATCTGTGACCATCCATCCCTAAATGCAGATGAAAGGAAGCCGTTTGAAGCTGATGTGGTGCTATTTCTCCAATGACTCAGATTAAACACCGATGCTTGTGCCTAGCAGCACATTCATCACTTCAATGATACTTTTAGTGGCCATTCCCCTGCTCGAGCGGAAATTAACAGCACTCTGGTGCCCTGTGCCTGCGTAAAAACCTGCTCTCTCACTCACACACACGCAAGGATAAATGTTTAATTCTGCTGTCATAGAAAGACATGCAGGTCTTTTGGGAATTCAGATGCCATGTTAATCATTGCATCTACAACTTTTTTTTCTACCCAAGAGACATAACTTAATGTTGTTTTAAGCCTCTGCCTCTGAAAACAGCAGACCTACTCGTCAAAAAAGGTCTGGATCCTCAAATTATGCCATTAAAACATTATGATGCACCAGTCATCTACAGGGTGGATCATAATTCACAGGGCAGGCAGTGCAGGTGAAAGAAAATAAGAACTTGTTGAATTTGTCATTATAGGGATCTAAATGGTGATGGTGTATATTAAGGCAGCTGCCTATGTCAAATTAATTCAGATGTCTAAAGGGTGAAAAATTGACCATAATCCCAGAGCAACTGTCTTCTTCTGACATCAAGCTCAGGTCAGGAAACTCATGCATTCTTCTCATGTATTTTTACTGTGATTTGGGTTGTCTAAACCTCAATAATCTGACAAAGTTTGTCATTTTACAGAAAAAAACGCAGATACGATGGGCAAAGAGAAAGGTATGCTCAAGCAAAAGACTACATCATAAAAGACTATACTTCAGTTTATTGTCATTGTTTTTCTGTCTATTTATAGTTTAGTTTGTATAACAGATGTTCGGGAACATGACCACCCCTTGGTAACTAATTTTAACCACTAGCAGCTTATTAACATGACCTTCACCAGAGCAGTCACTTGGGACGTCCGTATAAACATGTCAAACTCACCGTCTATTGTTTGTCTCAATTAATGATTGTGAGTAGCAACTTGGACCAACTTTGAAAAAGGCTCTCTTTTTAAATGGTCAAAAAACGATAATAGAGACTTAACATGGATTGTGAGCTCATCCTTAGTCCTTAAGACAGCGATGTGCTCAAAGATCAAACCGTGATCTTTGAGTCTCCTCTTTATTCCATTACTCCCACACTGCTCTCCCAGTTGACATACCTTCAATCTAACCAGCACCTGAAAGCAGTAATAATAATAATGCATTAGATTTTTATAGCACTTTTTGTCAGTGACCTCAAATCGCTTTACATTGGATACATCTTTCATTCGCTCACACAGTCACACCTTGGTGGTGGTAAACTACCTTAGTAGTCACAGCTGCCCTGGGGCAGACTAACAGAAACGTGGCTGTCAGTTTGCGCCTACGGCCTGAAAGCAGTCTCTTCCCGCCCTCAGCCTTGGTTGGCTTTATCAGGGAGACAGAATGGTGTCTAAAGTTACCATATCCTGCACACGTTTGTTCTGTGGTGGTGCCCATGCCAGATCATGCTTCCCCCATAACCCCACCATGCATGGTCTCTGACTGAGGAAGGACCTTAAAACTTCCTTTAACATTGAAAAACTGAAATCTGCCGTACAACTGCACCCTAATCGCCAGTTTATACTATTTCTTGTGCATGGTTTTACTTTCAGTTTCCATCTTGACATCAAAATGATCCTGCAATCAATTTTTTATGTGCAATAATCTCCAATCTGCTCATAATAACCTAACACAATTGGTAGACTCCTAACCCTCTACTGGATTCGTCTGAATAACCATAAACTTCCTTATGTCATTAACATCTTGGATAACTTTATAACAATTACAGCTTCAGTCTTACCTCCATCACAATCCTCTTGAGGTTGTAGAAAATCCAGCATAAACTTAGTAAAACAATGCACAGGAGACAGGATGAGATCTGAAGAACAGCCTGAGCGTCTTTTATTGTACAGATGTAGAAATCAGTACAGATGACAGAGTCTCAACCATAGACTGCTGTCTGCCTCCTCGCTGGGTGAAGCCACTCCGAGAACAGCACCCTCTGTTGATGGGCTGCAGTAAAGGTCATAAATCCCGCCTTCACCAGCAAAGCTCATGGAGCTGTGGACAAATATATTACACAGAACATACATCTTTCTCCCCCCTGCTTGCGATGTTGACATGTAGTTATTGTAAGACTGGTTTGTGCTCAAGTCCTCTTTTTTCTGTGGAGCTCCGTTTTTAAAAGTTATTAGGGGGTTCATGTTTGCTATGATTGACACCTGATACAGCCTATGGGCATTCAGGGATTGAGTAGCTCTCCCGGGTGATACGCTGTTTGAGACGAGCGTCATCACAGTGACTCCCTGCGACTGCGCGGCCTAATGCGCACAACGCAACTGCACAGCGCTGGTTTCAGGAAATGAAGAAAAATTCCGGAAATACTGAGAGCTTTTTGGCTTCAAATCCGTATACAGGCGGTAGGCGGAACCAAGTTGTCCACAGTATATACAGTCTATGGTCTCAACCAAGACCAAGGGAAGCCTCCATAGCTTGTCTTCTACTCCCTTTTATGCTTTCAGGTGTGTGTGTGTGTGTGTGTGTGTGTGTGTGTGTGTGTGTGTGTGTGTGTGTGTATGTGTGTGTGTGTGAATTCTCCAGAAGGCTCTTCATGATGACATGTCTGCCCCGCGACAGTTTGTTTAGGCTCGTCTTGACCCTCTCAGAGATTAAATGTTCCAGCAGACAGATAGTTCAGGCTCCTGCAAGACAGCCTGCTTACAATCTCAGGGTCATGAGGCTGCAGGAGCAGGCCAACCTAGATTATTTGTAGCTCCTTACTAAAAGATAATTACTCTATATTTCTCAACCTAAATGTATGAAGAGATTATACTACAAAGGCTGTTTTCCTCAAGCCTGGTGTCTCCCTCTTCCCAGAAAAGACTATAGGGCCATGCAAAGTCATTGAATTCCTTGGCATCAACCTCAACCCCATCACCTTTCAAGCCTCCCTCCCAACATAGAAACTGCACCGAAACTGTGCGAAATGTCAGCTCTTGTCACTACTTTTTGCAGTTTGCATCATCCCTCAAGTTTGGTCTTTCATCTTTCATCTGCTGTCCATGCCTACTGCAGTGCCTTCCCACTGCAGTAACATCTCCCTGGATGTAGGTTGCAAGATTGGGCCAAGGTTATGGCTCCACTTCCTTTCATCTTAGAACAATATTTCTTTTTTTTAATAATCACATCACTCAGCCAGAAGACATCAATCTCTTCCCTGACGTAGCACCCTCCATTTGATTTGTCAGGTAGTACAAGGGTAGATGGTATGCCTCTGATTGGCCACAGCAACTTCTCTCACTTTCTCTGTGGTCTGCTCTTTTCAAAATCTATCCTGTTGTCATTGCAGCCGTCTTTGGGAACATAACGATGTTGGTTGTGTAAGAAAACATCAAAAAGGAGCGTGGTGAGGGAGCAGCCTGCCAAACTAACTCCCCCAAAGATGAATGCCTTCAGCCTATTTGTGTAGACTGAGACACAGCTGGCCCAGGTGTTCTCAATCCAGGAGGATCCCGCCTAGCCACACCCACCTGCATCTGAAACAGAATAGACACCGCCATCGAAACAAGTAGATGGGATCGTCACACCAACTTACTCGAATATCAGCTCAAAACCAATTTATTAAATGCAGCTAACATTCCAGGTCACCAAAACCCTACTGCTGACTCAGATTCAAATCCTTGGCACCAGAATTAGATCCTCATCTGATTCCATTTCCTTACTTTTTAGCTGCTGTCCACATCTGAATCCACAGCTCCTCCATCTCATTACCTCATCGCAGCAAACCAATTAAATAGCCTTGTGCCAAAACCCCTTTATCATACTATTCCGGGTAGTCCAGTTGTAAAACCTTTCATGCAGTCCAGAGCCTCTGATTCCCTTGATTGACCTCTTCACCCTTTGTATCCAAACCTCTTACACAGGATACATATCCCCTTTCACTGACTCAACACTCAAAGCTATGTTTCTGTTAGCCTCTGTGTTTTTGAGATGCTCTGAGTTCACCTTTACCTCTTCCACCTCTGACCCTTCACGGCACACTAGTCTCTCTGACACTTCCTTTTACCCCTGACATCATTAGATTTAACCTCAGATGCAGCACAATGGATCAGGTCAGCCATTCTCAACCTATATTCGTCTTCAGACTACACCCCTTCCTAAACCCCTTCCAATCCATCATTACACCTGCAAACCTCAGACGAGCCTGCTGTACATCCCCACACTATCCTTTTATTACTATCAAAACAGGCACAGTGGCGACATGCTTCTGGTTGCACCACCATCTCTGCCATGTTTTCCTTGAATCAGCTACCTCCCCTGTACTCTATTCAGGCCATTTTTTTGTGTGTGTCAGGGTTGCTACAAGGTGAGGGATTCCTGATCAAACCGATAAATCTCCGGGCCATTGGTCTTCCCAAGCTTTCCATGCCTATATCCGCAGCCACCTCAGCAGCACCAACAGAGCCCATATCCATTTACTCAGATGAAGTTCTCTTGGTGATGCAGAATTAGAAGAGTATTGAGATATCCCCCCACCAGTGGCGGCTGCTGGTCTTTCAAGGAGGGGAAGCTCATTTTTCTGGCCTACATCATAATTGTATTTGTTTATTAGTATGTAACAGAACAGAGTCGCCAAACACAACGGCAGTCGTTTTTAACAAATACAAAAGTTGAGGATCGGTAAAGTCTCTGGAGCAGTTAAGAACAACGGAATGAATGACTTGGAAAATGCTCTGGTAGATGTTTTATTCTTCAAGATCGCTGATTCGCTTGTTTAGCTGTCAATCAAAAAAGGATTTCGCCTCAGACAGCTCATCCAATCATGGATGCAGAAGCTTGGAGTCCGGGAGAAAGTCGGGACCGCCCTCTCGCCATAGAACTCCAGTGAAGCTGGGCTTCCATTGGGCGGGACAAAGCCCAGCATTTATCCAATGAGCGTCTAGTTTCGCTGCTGGAACAACCCACTTTGAGCTTCTACATTGAAGTCAGCAGAAGCCCAGCGTCCGGCTGTTTAAAGCGCTGAGGCGCTGCGAGGATGAATGAGAACGAAGTTATGCCGGTTACCTGTGATTATCAGCTTCTTATCACAGTGTCTGATCAAAAGATGAAGGCTTTCTAGTGCGTATTTAGTTAATGAAATGTACACACAGCCGTACGTATTTCACCACTTTTTCTTTTTTTGGGGGGGTGACATTTTAAGGGAAGCCGAGCTTCCCTTGCAGTCTTAGAGCAATCGCCACTGCCCCCCACTAAGAGTCTTGACACCCCAGTTCCTCACAATTAAAAGACCTTAACCCTTTCATCCCTCTTTACTTCAACCCCAACTCATCCCACCAGACCTCATCCAACTCTACCCTGAGCCTTAATTTTGTTTAAATAAAGTATTTTCAAACCGCACAGTGACTTGGTTTCTTTCTTCTTTTCTGAGTGACATATTTTCAAAACATATAATATTGCATCCAAAGTCATGATATCCTCACAAACATAGTTTAAATGTTACAAAGTATGGTACAAAGTATGTTGGTGAACATTGTATTAACTGGATTAATATATGCAACTCTGTAAGGCTTTCAACGTCAAGGATATGAGCCTCAGTCAAATGTTGCATCTTTTCTGTCAGAAAAAAACAAAACAAAAAGTAAATGATCTTACTATTTTTATTGTCTAGGTTAGACCATAGGTGTTAGAGGGGGTTAAAGGCGTGACCTTGCTAACAGGTGACTTTCAGTTGAATGCTAATGTGACTGTCATACATCTGGCTGGGAGTATATTGTAACTATACCTCTAAAACACCAGTGTCTGATGTTAACTACTTAAAAATGGTATTGTCGGCTTGCTAAGATAATGTCAAAATAGACAAAAACCCAGATATTAGCACATCCAAAGTAATCATCAAAAAAATATAAAAAATGTTTTCCAGATGCAAATGGTTCTCTTCTTCTATCACATCTTGTTAATTAATTCTTAATTCATAATAATTCTTAATTCTTAACCTAACAGCTGTATGCTAGCATTAGCTGTTCTGATGTGAACAAACAGGCTGTCATGTTTTCATCTCTAAATACAGCCTGGATTTTCAGTATCTATTATTTTTATGGATGCCTATCAATTTGAAACATCTGACAGACTACTGAGGTTAATATAAATGACTTCTTACACAAACTTCAGCTCACCCAAAATACGGCAGCATGCCTTGCTTTGCACTGCTTGGGGAGGAGCAGTGTTGAGTGGATGCATGCTGAACTATCATGGATGACAGTCAGGCAAAGGTTGGCTTGTAGTCTAGTGAAATTTACATTCAATATTTACCATACTGGTAAACCAGCAAATTTACTTTTACAAATACAGCCCACAAATACTAGACATGAATACTCCACAAGACAGGCTATGGGTGGTCACTTTACACAACCTTCTATACCTAAAACCAATGCATTGAAAAGAACAGCAATGTATAGAGCGGCAACATATTGGAATGAGCTTCCGTCATACAGTGTATATAATAAGGATAAACAATAAACAGGGGTTTAAAAAGGTTGGGGGAAGCTGTGATGAGGAAAGAAATTATATTTAGTTAGATTGTTAATTGACAAATTGATAATCCAAAAAGTGACTTAGTATGTAGTTATATACTAAAGAAAATGCATGTAGACTGAAACCTGTAATTATTTTTTGAGTTTGTTTTGTTTTGTTTTTTTTTGTTTTTGTTTCTATTGGTTAGTTATGTTTTATCTTAACTAGTGTATGTAATGGTAGAATGCCATTGTATTGTGTTTTAATTGTTTTTGTTTTCTATGTAAATGTGTGAATGTTTGGACCCCAGGAAGAATAGTCTTCACAGTAGTGAGGACTAATGGGGATCCGCAATAAACAATATACACAACAGTAATATTAGATGAAAACATAATACAAATTTCCCACACTGAGTGTGATGTCAGAAGGAGATGGTTGCCATGGGAATATATTTGTAATCATATTATATCTGTAAGGTATTAAGTTTATTCTTCCAGAGCTATGGCATCTTCGAGTTGTGTTTATTAAGCAGCGTGAGCAGATTTGTAATTTTTAAAAACTCTGCTTACAATTAAGTAAGGCTCTGAGTGTGAAAATATACAGCAGATTAATTTCATATTTCCAAAAAGTCTTGTCTGGTTGGGAGAAAGAAAAAACTTTCTGGGACACTTAACTTGGGTTTTAAAGTCCTTAAGATTCAAGAACAAATCACTTCCCTGTGCATTTACAACATACAGCACTTGGCAGGGGAGTTAGCCTTTCAAGAGTCTGAATCAGTGTAATTTGATCAGTGTGGCTCTAACCTCACGGGATAAATATCCAATAAAAGACATTTCTGGATATACGTAAATCCATCCAATTCTGGGCCTAATTAAGTGGGACTTACATTGCACAGAGGGACAGCTGGTTAGAAGAGACAGAAAAATGGCCGGAGGCATCAACGTCTGCTGTCTCAGGAGAGCACTAGATCCAATAAGGATGGAAATATAAGAGGTGTCACTGTGGCTTACTTTAGAATGGAAGCACATCATCAGAACGGACTGACACACATGAACACACATCAAGTTAGCAAGTGCATACAGCCTCCAGCACAAACAGCTTATTGCCATAAGGAAAAAGAATGAACTCTTGATGGGTCTTGTGTTGAATCAAAGGCAAAGATTCAACTACACTTTTTGACTTAGTGCTGAGGCTTTACAGCAACTGACTGCCTTTTGACCCATGGCTCAAGATTTAGAAAAAAAATAAAAATAATAATAATATTAATAATAATAATAACAAGACATTCATTTGAAGCGCCTTTCACATCACTCAAGGACACTTTACAGAACATATAAAACAATAATAAAACACAATTAACAATTTAAGTCATCAATCATCAAAACAGTTAAAATCAACAAAGCAACATTAAAACATTTGACATAAACAACAGCAAAGGAATAAATAACTAAATAAATAATACCAATTAAAATTAAATTAAAAAAGTGAGTAAGGGGTGGTGGGATGGATAGGCCAGTTTAAACAGGTGTGTCTTGAGTTTGGACTTTAAGAGGGGGAGGGAGTCTATGTTGCGGATGTGAAATGGTAAAGAGTTCCAGAGTCAGGGGGCAGAGCGACTGAAAGCTCTGCCCCCCATGTGGTGGGACGAAGGGGTTTTGGTGATGATCCGGGCAGCGGAGTTGTGGACCAGTTGAAGTTTATGGAGAGATGTGTGAGGGAGACCGAAGAGGAGGGAGTTGCAGTAGTCCAGATGGGAGGTGACGAGACTGTGGGCGAGGATGGAGGTGGTGTTGGGGGAGAGGGAGGGACGAAGCCGATTGATGTGGTGGAGATGGAAGTAGGCAGTCCGAGTGGTAAGGCTGATGTGGGATTTGAAGGAAAGAGTACTGTCAAGGACAACACCCAGACTCTTGACCTGAGGGGAGGGGGAAACTGAGGAACTGTCGATGGGAAGGGAGAGACTGTCAACTTTGGATAGGGTGAATTTGGAACCTACTAGAAGAATTTGTGTTTTCTGACTGTTTAGATGGAGAAAGTTGGCGGTGAACCAGGATTTAATTTCGGATAGGCAGGTGATGAGGGAGGTGGGTGGGTGGTGGAGTTTGGTGAGCTGGAGAGGTAGAGCTGGGTGTCGTCCGCGTAGCAGTGATATTGAATGTTGAATTTACAGAAGATGGAACCAAGGGGGAGGAGGTAGGTGATGAACAGCAGGGGCCCCAGGACAGAGCCCTGGGGCACACCTGAACTGACTGGGGAGGGGTCGGACTTGAAGGATTTGAGCTGGGTGAACTGTGCGGTCTGAGAGGTAGGAGTGGAACCAGCGGAGGGGAGTGTGGGAGACGCCAATGGAGGAGAGTCTACGGAGGAGGATGGGATGGGAGATGGTGTCGAAGGCTGCACTGAGGTCGAGGACGATGAGGATGGAAAGTGAACCGGAGTCAGCTGCAGTGAGAAGGTCATTGGTGATTTTTAGCAGTGCGGTTTCGGTGCTGTGGCGGGGGCGGAAACCAGATTGGAAGGGGTCGTAGAGGGAGTTCTGGGTTAGGTGGGTGTGTAGTTGGCTGGCGACAACCTTTTCCAGTATTTTGGCTGTGAACGGAAGATTGGAGATGGGGTGGAGGTTGTTGTAGTTATTGGGGTCAGAGCCAGTTTTTCCAGGATAGGGGTGATGGCTGCTGTCTTGAGGCATGCGGGAACAGTTCCAGTGGTGAGTGAGGAGTGAATGATGGCAGATACGAGAGGAAGCACAGACGGGAAGCATGATTTGACCAGTGTGGTGGGAAGGGGATCCAGCTGACAGGTTGAGGGTTTGGATTTCCGGATGAGATCGTAGATTTCAGAGTCGTTGGGGAGAAGAAAACTGGTGAAGTACTGACGGTGTGGCAGGGGAGTTGGTGGGGTCGGAGGGGGCAGAGA